CACAGAATGAGGATGAACTTTCCGCTAGAACTTGACTGGATGCACTGTGCACAGCGAGTGAACAAATGAGAGTGAGCTTTCCGCTAGAACTTGGCTAGACGCACTGTGCACAGTGAGTGAACAAAATGAGAGTGAGCTTTCCGCTAGAACTTGACTGGATGCACTGTGCACAGCGAGTGAACAAATGAGAGTGAGCTTTCCGCTAGAACTTGGCTAGACGTACTGTGCACAGCGAGTAAACAAAATGAGAGTGAGCTTTCCGCTAGAACTTGACTAGACGCACTGTGCACAGCGAGTGAACAAAATGAGCGTGAACTTTCCGCCAGAACTTGGCTAGATGCACTGTGGACAGCGAGTGAACAAAATGAGAGTGAACTTTCCGCTAGAACTTGACTAGATGCACGCTCTCATACATACCCTGTAGGTAGATGATGAACTCCCTGCTAGCTCACAGGTAGTTCCGCCCGCTTCACCACAAGCGGCACATTTCTCCCGCGCGGTCTCTCTCTCTCTCTCTCTCTCTCTCTCTCCCTCTCTCTCTCTCTCTCTTACAACGCACTCCTTGTCCGCCGCCTTGCCTTCCCTGTAACTCCCTCGCGCCGTTCTCCTCCCGACTTTCTGCGGCTCGAGTCAGCGGATCGCTGTGTCCACCTGGCATGCGATCCCACTCTCTTCCCTCCTCTCTCCCCCTGCTAACCGCCTAAGCGTTCATGCTTCCCATTGCTTGCTTGTCCCCAGTCAACTTCCGAAAGGCTGGGTACGCCTGGCACGCATCTTCCTCCAAAAAAAAAAAACCTGGTACCCGTTTACTTCCCTTATATCCACTGTCTGTGGCCAACTGCCCTGCTTCCACTCGGTCCGCGTCGCAGTCCCTACAGTCCCAATGCTCCAGACCCAGAGAATTTCTTGCCCTCGTCAATCCAGGCCCGGTCATGGGGCCCTGGCCCATTGCGGTAGCTGTTCCAACGGCAAACCAGTGACCAATCTCTAAACCCAGCAGGTCCGGGCCATGGCCTGCCGTCTCAGGATTGTGTAAGCAGCCATCTAGTGCCCATTCCAAGGTCGAAGTACCGAATCGCAGCCAGAACCTGCGCAACGTTACAAGCCACGTGCCTGCCCCTTTTTCTGTCCCCGAACCCCAAAAAGAACAGCGCAGAGTGTAGTACTCTGTCTTAGTGTTGTGCCACTATCAATGCAGCGAACTGTGAACTGCAGCAGTCCTGAAACAAATCAGAGCGCCGAACCATCAAATGCCAAGGTCGAACAGTCCAATACTGTTCCAGTTTGTGTCGATGCTGAGCCAATAGTTGTGCCAATCTGCATTAGCGCCCATGCCAATCCCGTTGCGATAATATTTCCATACCTGTGCCGTTCCAGCAAGCGTTCCAATGCCGGTTCCGAAGGAACGCTCTGATTTACCGCCGCCTGCACTATTATCATACCGCTCGGTGTCGGGTGCCGCACCGTGCAACAATGTGTTGTAATAATACCGAGCCTGTCCCGAACCAGAGTACCATGCCCGAATCGACCCACCGGTAACACCCAAGCAATGAAGCCCAGGCAAAATAGCACCGGTGGTAATCCCGCGCCAGGCATCCATCCCACACTCACTCACAACACCCGGATTGGAACAAGATGGCGCACCCCTCACGAATAACCAAGTAAAAATTAGTTAATTATCAGATAATCGTGGGTTTCCTTCTCGTTTTATTGTTTTTAATTATTTTTCTTATTTCTTAGTTCCATTATCGAAAAT